ATTTTTGGGTCTTTGACTATCCATACGCCGTGGGGTCATTTTGTACCCCCGGGGTTGTATTCTTCACATTTTAGAATACTTCTAGTACGAAGATCTCTTTGAAACTTTCAGTATTTTTCAAAAAAGGATTTTGACAGACTGCTATATTGCAAAGCATACAGGTCGGATTAACGAGTAAATTTCCTCTTTGGAAAGTGGTGGCACAGAGTTCCCCACGTCATAGGATACGATTGTAAAACATGACATACGGATAGGGTTAAGTAGGCTATATGTACATTCAAGGCATGTGTTTTTTGGCTCAGGAGGAAATGGAAATGAGACACTTATCATGTGAATTTGGCATCTTTTAGAATTCACTTTTTTTTCCATTCTTCTATTCATGTCACAACTTGACCTTTTTTAGTCCATTAAGCTCCTGCAGACAGTGAGTGTGTCTGGTAGGTGTTCACTGCTGTTGTAATGTTTGGATTTTTTTTTCTAGATTGATTAATCAATTCGTATTACTTATCTGTCCAAGTTTTTTGTTTATAGATATTGATATCTTTTCTGCTGGATAATATTAATAATCAAGTACAGAACTTTGATGTAGTTGTTTCAGTTAATTTTATGTGATTGGTCAGTTTTGTGAATGTAGGATAGTTTTTCCTTGTATCCAAACAAGTGAATTGTTCTCGGCTCTCCATGGACAAACATGGAATTATCCAAATTTTTTTTGTACCAGTAGTTAAGAAAATGAGATGAGGTCGGCTTTTGAGAGTTCAGAGTGGTTTAGAGCTGATAAGAAGGATCTCAGTCTAAATATAAGGTTTTGGAAGTCATGAGAGGTGATGGCATTCACCTGAGCTGGCCTTTATCCTTGTGCTCAAGGAGCCTATGAATGAAGATTTGTGTCGATAGGATACATTATATAAATAATAATTTGCCTAAGAGAATATGTGTAACTCTTTTCCAGGAGCTTTTTGGGTTCAGTTATTGTTGAGACAGCATTAATTATTTCCTTTTCTTCCCTCCTTATTCGTCCAACCTGTATGGGAAAAAATATTAATTTCTCTGATGCTTTTCAGAGCTCCTTACCAATTTGTTTTCGAGCGTTTTTTAAGTTTAGGTAGTTTCCAATGGTGGCATATACCTATATGGGACTGGATGCATCATAGATAGGCCCAACTGTATGTCTTTGAAAATTCTTCCAGTTTCTGTCTGCGTTACTTTTTCCCAGCTCAGAACGTTTACTGGTATCTCCTGCGTGTTGGTTAGACGAATGACATGAGTTTCAATCTGACATGGAAAAAGTATTTTATCGGGAGTGTGTCAACTGGGATGTTGTATCCGGTTCTGCCCCCACAAGAAGGCTGAAACAGTCCATCTGAACAATCTAAACTGTATCAATAGGGGCGTGGAACATAAACAATCTTCAGTCGTATACAACTTTTCTAATGTCAATTATTAGCATCTCTTTCACTCGAGTTTGAGTCCACAGCAAAAGTTTCCATGTGCGAAAAAAAATACGGGAAAAGACTCAGTGCATAAAATAAATACAACTTTTTCACTTTTCCCATCGTTGCACACGACAGTTGTCACTTTTGCGCTTCATCTTACACATCTTTTCAGGCAATTCTGCAAAGTTTCATAATTGCTTGTTTCACCTGGAGCGATTCCCAAAATGATGAGTTTCCTGTGAAGGTATGAGGCAGACTAGGGCAGGCTCAGAGAAAATGGAATTGTTGCTGGGCATAATGGTGTGTGAAAAGGTCAAGTTATTTTGTACACAGCAATCGTTTTAGATTTGGTGCTTCTGATATTTTAGACATTTCTACCATTGACTTAACATATCAGTATTTTATCCTGTAAGCAATACAAAGCTGTCTTCATTCTTAAAGTATCTCAAAATGATCGAACTATGTTCCACTATGTGCAAGAATCATGAAAGAGCTTCCGAAATCCATTTTTAATGTTGTCCAAACACAAAATACCGTGGGATTGTTTTTCCTCACTCAGATTCCAAGAATTCCATTCACTATGCATTAACTTTCCATTCCTTCTAAATGCTTCAGTGCTTTATAATGCAAAATGTAGACAATATTGTATTTGATAAATAAGATATGAAGGTTGAAGATTTAACAGGTAATTGAGAAGACGTAGTTAATCATAGAGATGGAAATTCTCAAGAAAACAAGTTTCTTCATCTTTACTTTACTTTTACTTTTATAAAGTTTCTTTATCAAACTAGTCTATTTCAAGTTTTGAGTAATTTTATGCCAGACAGTAATCGTTTGACCACTTTTCTGTCAAACAAGTTTCATAATTCATGCTTTTCTAAGATCTGGTCTGATATGTGTTAGTAAAACATGTATAATTGTTAGTCGTACATAAACACATCTTCACATTATGTTCTTGACTGTATTGTTATTTGCTATTCAAACATCTGTTTTCTTCTTTTTTATTTTCGCTTTTATACTTTATGCATAAAGACCTAGATTTTGGTGTGCAATATTCTTCCGTTTTTGTTCCAGCTTTTAAACAATACATAATTATGCAATTTTATAATCTTGAATACATTTAATCCCAGAATAAATGATATTACAAGTACCAGCTTCAGTTTAGTTTATTTCTTTTATTTGTGTTCCCCCCCTGCTAGATCTCAGGGGTAGTCGACTGTTGGTTCTTCAAACTGCAGTACAACTGTGTGACAATTTTTGTTACTTCACAGGGACCCTTGCCTGTTCTAATTTTGAAGGGACTCCATTTATTTATTCTGCGAACATGACTGAAGGTAAATGTTTAAAATAATCTTTTGCCAATCCACAATACTACAACCACTACCTGTTTGTCTTTATGTTAAAGCTCATATCTCAGCCTAAGAGCCAGCTCTATGTTATAGCTCATATCCCACCCTAAAAGCCAGCTCTATGTTATAGCTCATATCTCAGCCTAAAAGCCAGCTCTATGTTATAGCTCATATCTCAGCCTAAAAGCCAGCCCTATGTTATAGCTCATATCCCACCCTAAAAGCCAGCTCTATGTTATAGCTCATATCTCAGCCTAAAAGCCAGCTCTATGTTATAGCTCATATCTCAGCCTAAAAACCAGCTCTATGTTATAGCTCATATCCCACCCTAAAAGCCAGCTCTTAGTCTTAGCCTTTAACTTTAACAACTTACTAATTATTTAAATTTGCTTCTCACGTTTGATCAAAAGTGAAAGAATTATAATGAGAAATAGGAAATACAAAAAATAGGCTAACATTAACAATATCACCTTAGCAGAGACTGTGCCCACCATTGCGGAACTTCACGGTGACCGTAAAGATGGTCCCAACTAGGGAACGGGATAGACGGTGCCCACTTCCCTGATCGTGACTCATTGGAGCAGAGGAAGATAAGACCAACGCGTAACAATACTTAAACGCAATATCCCACATCATCACTCATCACCACCATTATTTCTGAAACCACCACTGCCCTCAGACCAATGACGTGAATCTATAGTCCTGGAATCTCTATAGACTGCACCAGTTACTTGGCATACTAAGTACGCACGTAATACACTATTGGACACTGTCATACACACTTTTTTCTACTAATCAGATGGCGTCAATCTCATATAAATTAGATGGGCAAGGGATTTTTTTAAAAAGAAATATAAAAAAAATTTCAACACCACTATGGGATTTCGTTTGTCAAGTTTTGTAATTATTTCAATTGAAAATTTTTTTAAGCAGCTCTGGAATTCAAAGCCAGCGGAGTTAACAGTATGGCTGCCCTAGCAGAAACATACAGTAAAACTAAAACCTTACTAACACGAATTTCACTGGACCAGAGAATCTCTTTGTGTTAAGTAGATGTCGAGTTACGGGAAGTTGCAATACATAAAATAAAGAGGGGGAATTTTTTAAAAAGGGGATTTGAAATTCTTTCATGATACAGTCCGTGCCGGCTTAAACTCGTCGGCGTAAAAGACGTTTCGGGCTCAAGCACGCTAAACGGCTCTTACCGTATTTATTTTTGTCAATACTTTCATGATGACTCATCCAAGTTCAAACAGTCTCTACCGCAGCAGTAAGTGCGTTAAAAAAATACAAAGAACACAAGTGATGGAGACACACTCACACATACGCGCACGCGGGGAGAGGAAGGCAGAGAGATGCACTCAGCCGCGCGTGTGGATATAGGCTCTCTTGCCCACGGCAAAGCTACACACAGAAGGAAAAAATGCAAAGAGAGTCGGGGAGACGAGAAAAGGAAGCTGGCTGTGATTTCTCCTTTTTGCCCCCCGCTCTCCATTAATCCTGATTATGTATCACACGCGAGGTGTGAAGAAGGCGGTGGTATGAATGTGGCACAGCGGGCAGTGGTACGCACAGGCAGTGTGTTGGCTTAGTGTGCTGTATTGTGACTGGCTGTCTAAATTAAGTTTTCATTTCCCATTCGACCACAAAACAAAACAAACAAACAAAAACTATCATGACGGATAAAAATGACAGCACACACTTTTGCACGACCACGAGTTACGAACAAAGGCAAATAATTAATGAAATGTTCTACATGAAAATCTCTGGATCATGTTTACTTTGCACTCAAGCACGCCTCGGCATTAAGTAGGGGCCTACACTTATGCTTTCTCCCGATGACCGTGCTTAAAGCCGGCATGGACTATATAACAGGAATTTTGAGTTGAACAAGTTCATGTTAAACAAAGTCCTGTATGGAATTAAAAGATAAGACAAAGATAACGAGGGCCCACTGCCAAAAAATAAAAAACAACTAGTTGTACCACTTCAATTCATTTATTACTTAGCATTAACCTTTAGAAATGTATCACTTTGGTCTGTGCATAACATTCCTAGAGTAATGAGCATTCCTGTGACAACCAGACAAATAGTAGACTTTTTTTTAACAGGAAGCCATTTAACACAAGTTTCACGATGTCTGAAAAGGATTTCAAATACCAATCTAAAGCCCCCCCCCCCCCCCCCCCCCCCAACCCCCTTCTTTATTCTATGCATTCCAACTTCCGTTCACATGAAATCTGCTGAGCAAGAAGAAATTTTCTGGCATATGAAACGTGCATTAACAGGGTTTTCCTGTAAGTCTCCCATAGGAAGAAAAGCATTAGTCGTAAGTAGAAATACCACTTCATGGAAACTGAATCAGTGGTAAACAAATATGCAGCATTTCAGATATCATTGGTAAAGATTTTAACAACCAAAACACATGAAAAGAAAAGGAGGGACAGACCAAACATAAAAAATGAAATAATGATTATAAATGAAAGGAATGATAATATTCTTCATGAAAGTTAAATTTATTATCATCATGAAACAACAATATAAATGATAGAGAAATAAATAAATATGGATTTGGTAAAGAGCTAAACTAGTAATGGGCCGGCATGCACTCCCTAAAGCCTAAAGCAGTTTCCACAAACCCTGAACAAACCCTGAAGTCTGTTCGTAGAGGCTGGGAGATCAGTGATACTCATCCCACCTTCTTTCTCAACAAAAATACCACATATTTATATTTCTACAAGAGTGATGTACCAACAACAAACTTAGCTGCTGTACCCGTATGCAAAAAGTAGACTGCACAATGAGCACATTATCATGTCCAAAAACATTGTTATCAAACTCCAACCTAAGGGACATCCATTGTATACACAAATGTTCACTCTTGCAACAACTTGAACACTCATGCGTCACCACACAAAAACAATCAGGATGAAACGAAAAATAATCCTGCTAAAAGAAAAAAGAAAAACTCTTCTCAAATAGCAATGCCCTTTCTGTGTCTAGCCTACACTAAGCCGATCAGTTTCCTTGCCCTGCGGCGGTCCTGCCAATCCTTGTAGCGGAGGATGACAAAACTCTCGAATGCCGTGACCGGAAACTCCACACAGCACATCATGGCAAAGGACATCAGATGGGACAGGGCGAGGACGCAGAAGGAGAACATCAGCTGGAGGGGTGGAGGGGGGGGGAGATGTAGATGGAAAATATTAGCTGTAATAGTGATAATAATATAATGAATTATCAACAAAAATAATAACAATTATAATAGTAAAATCACTTTTACTTCTATTGCCCCCACTCTCTGGCGGCTCTAGGCACTTCACAATAAAACAAAATTCTCCACAGCTTACACAATGGCAGGTTTCATGTAGGGCAAACAATGTGGTTGCTGTTAAAAAATCTGGGCGAAAATGATAACTTGTTCAATCAAGAAAAGTAAACACAAAACGCAAACATGAAATTCATCAAGAACATATTCCAAACACAGCTGCAAATGCTCAGTAATTTTCAATAATTCTCCAATCTGCTTCCAACAATCTGTGGTTGTACAACTTTCCACTAGAGGGCCCCACGGGCACAGTTGTTACAAACTTGACCAACACGTGGAAGGTCAAAGTTGAAATCTGAGCATGTAGGGTCTGAATTGTTCTTTTTCTTTTTCAAAATATCTTCACTCAATCCAGTGCGCTGCTCAGGCTTTACCAAATACGGTGAATCATGAATATAACACCCAAGGATTCAAGGAAAGGAGAAGGATTCCCCCTTTTTTAATATTTCCAGTACAGTAATTAAAAATCAACAAAATACCTTGTAAATATAATGAACACACACAATAAAAACTCAGATTAAATGGAGTAACTTGCATGGCAATCAGCCCCTGCTGATGAGGCTTCCCACATTTTTCTCCCATAACAAAACTTATCTTCTCTTGCCTATTCCACAGGACTGTTAATTGCTCTGCAATGTGGCTCATTACACATTTATTGCACACTATACACCACACTACAACTGACCTATCAAAGACATAAATAGCCTTAATATGATTGCCAACCAATCAGATGCCATCTTCCACATCAATACTTGCGTTGTTGTTGACGCAAGCAAAATGTGCGTTAGTGTATGATATGAACATATGAGCAGGTCTGAACAACAAATATTTGAATCGTTTACAAGTAATTCAAAACAATGCCGCTAGACTGATAACAAGATCGAAAAAACGAGACCATGTCATTCCATTATTAAAAGAACTGCATTGGCTCCCTGTAAAAGAACGAATAATATTTAAAATCTGCGTCATGTGTTTCAAATGTGTAAATAAAACTGCTCCTTTTTATCTACAAGAACTTATCAGTATATATAAACCAGGGAGAAACCTAAGATCATCAAACGATAACACCCTACTTGTGACACCTGTAAAATCATACAAATCATATGGAGAGAGATCTTTCTCATATCTTGGTCCATTTATGTGGAACAGATTACCCATGAAACTAAGACAAATAAGAACTCTTGATAGCTTCAAAAGACATCTTAAACATTTTCTGTTCCTACAGGCCTATCCTTCATAAGATTTTAACGTTATCTTTCATTATATTTGTGCTGTTCCTATGTCTGGATGAAAATAGTCTGTGTGTGTGTATGTGTGTGTGTGTGTGCATTAATGTATATTGCTTGAGAAGAAAGGAAGTAGTAAGAAAGGTTTTTGAAAAATGGGTATTCCAATGTAAAGCGCATTGAGCTACTTTTTTTGGAAATGCGCTATATAAATGTTATATATTATTATTATTATTATTATTATTTATGTGCCAGAGTCGGAAAAGTTTTGACAGGCGGCCAGCACACTTGTGGCTGTATGCACGTAAAATTATCTGAGGGGGGGGGGGGTAAGGCATAAGCGTTCCCTGGTAGGAACATCAGCAAGGGTAAAGACGTGTCAAATTAAGGCATTTTTCTCTCCCGGTAACTAAACAGTGATAGGCTAGGCTTAGATGTACATAACGAGTTGCACACAGGTTTATAAAACTACATGTATACTCCCCTACTCTAGGCCTAGCCAGTCTAGGCCCTACATTTCAATGCAACTTGTTCGGCGAGCAATACGTTATATGACATAGAGTGAATATAAGAAACTACCTTTCTGCACAGTGTGTGCTTCAACAGATCCAGCGTATTCTGCATCACTGTTTCAATTGTCAAAGTTACGAATAGTCAAGAATACGTTAGGTAATGGATCAAAGAAAAGAGAATGCCTGTCATCCAAACTACTTAATATGATAAATGTGAGGCATCGTGGTGAAATCAGGCGCTCATCAAAATAATGAAATCGAAGAACTAGGCATTTTTCCGCCAGTTTGGCAATTTTTATCGAATTTTTGTTTTTGGGCTCAATATTTTTCGTGTCCATACAAAAACACATTTACGTGTGAATTTTACTGGAAAATGTTGATTAAAGGCACAAAGTATGAAATTTCATCGTTTTCGTGGACTCTCAAGCTATTGAAATTATCAAAGATGGCAGCAATTTTCTCGCTAATTTTACCACTGAAACCAGGTGACCTCATCTCCTTCAGTCGCAAATACCTTGACTTCTATTTAAGATAGATGGGTATTTGTTTCAAGGAAAACAAGGCAAACAAACAAGCTTGTAGTTGATACCAATAACTCCACACGTCCAAAAATTTACGAGCGCCTGATTCAACAACGTCGTGACATGTATGTGTATACTGTAGCATTACGTTAGCTTTTCAACACAGGTCAAGGACACATTTGGTACGGCAGCAGAGAGAAGAAAAAATTACTTTTGTTTGGAACCAAGCTTAACCCTATTGTTCAGGAAGGATGAGGGGTGTCAAGGGATACAACTGCTCATACTAGACAGACATCATTCTTATAAAAAAATCCACGATTAAATAAAGATCTGGAAAGTGTCAACTTTGATTTATATGGGTATATGACATCTAGTAAAGAAGTTGTCAGGAATCTCGGTGTATATATTGACCACCACTTACAATGGGCTCGTTTGTAGGATCTCTGTCCAAATCCCTTTATTTTCAGCTGAGAAGGATAAGCCTAGCGCCTAGTTCGAAAGTACTTAAACGAAGAGACCACAAAAACACTGGTAACATCTCTTATCCTATCTAGATTAGACTATTGCAACTCACTCCTAGCAGGTCTGAACAACAAATATTTGAATCGTGTACAAGTAATTCAAAACAATGCCGCTAGACATAACAAGATCTAAAAAACGAGACCATGTCACTCCATTATTAAAAGAACTGCATTGGCTCCCTGTAAAAGAAAGAATAATCTTTAAAATCTGCGTCATGTGTTTCAAAGTGTAAATAAAACTACTCCTTTTTATCTACAAGAACTTATCAGTATTTATAAGCCAGGGAGAAACCTAAGATCATCAAACGATAACACCCTACTTGTGAAACCTGTAAAATCATACAAATCATATCATATCTTGGTCCATTTATGTGGAACAGATTACCCATGAAACCAAGACAAATAAAAACATTTGATAGCTTCAAAAGACATCTTAAACATTTTCTGTTCCTACAGGCCTATCCTTCATAAGCTTTTAACGTTATTTTTCATTATAGTTGTTCTGTTCCTATGTCTGGATGAAAATAATCTCTCTGTGTGTGTGTGTGTGTGTGTGTGTGTGTGTGTGTGTGTGTGTGTGTGTGTGTGTATTAATGTATATTGCATGAGAAGAAAGGAAGAAGTAAGAAAGGTCTTTGAAAAATGGGTATTCCAATGTAAAGCGCATTGAGCTACTTTTTTGGAAATGCGCTATATAAATGTTATATATCATTATTATTGTTATTTACTGCAAGCAAGTCAACCTCAAAAAGAACTCTCACTTTTCAAAAAGTGAACTCCCCAAGAAAATACGAAGGAGGGAAAAAAACAACCAAATCACTACTCCTTAACAAAATGCAGCTCCTCAAAATCACCAGTTGGCCGAGTGTGAGCGCCATACTGTACGGGGAAGACTCTAGGATGACGATGATGATCACAGGATGCAGCAGGAACACACCATAGGTGATCCGGCACAGTGGAAGGAACAAACGCGCAGACAGGAATTTGCCCACCAGAGCTAGAAGGAGAGAAATAACACATTAATATTAATTAAGTAAGTTATGCTGTTGCCCACCAGAGCTAGAAGGAGAGAAATAACACATTAATATTAAGTAAGTAAGTTATGCTGTTGCCCACCAGAGCTACAAGGGGGGGGGGGGGGAATAACATTTTTTTTAAAGATAACACACTAACAATTTTTTATTTTTTTTTTGGGGGGGGGGGGGGTGAAGATTAGGTGTTACAAGAGAGTAACAAACACAAAAAAAGGAGGAGAGATCAGGACGAGAGATGTTTGAAAGCAAACATTTTTCAAGTGTTTGACGATTTTGGCAGTTCAAAAAATTCTGATTATGATATTTCAGACCATGGGAATCCTGATTTCAATGTAAATTAGCATCAAAGCATTGATTAGGATAGCGAAAGTTCTAGATCTAGACTTCGCTTTCAAATGCAAAATTACGCTTTGTCTGAAGCCCTGTTTTTTACACACTGAAGTGGAATACCCAGCTAATACATAATGATTGCCATATCGATTACCTGCCTATTCGTGAGTTTGAACTTTTTAAAAATTCATTTTGAAACACAAAACACAACAAAAGACACACACAAGGGTGATTTTTGGGGGTGTTTTGTTGGGTTTTTTTACACAATGCATTACATTAACAAATTTTGGCAAGCGGCAAATTTCAGCATATTTTCAAAAAATCATTTCTAAAACACTATAAAAGAGATTGCCTTTCTGTTTTCTGTGTCCTATTGGGCATATTTAGATCTGTTATGCGTGTAAAAATGGTGGTTTTATGGCTTTGGGAAGGATGCTGTTTGAAACATTGAAATACCCCCCAAAATGCCAGTCTCCAGTGCATGCTGACCTGAAAGAGGCCCAGTCTCCAGTGAGTTAACTCTGTATCTCCGAGAGGGGTAAACCCACAATGCCGGGCCCTTTTTGGGTACTAAATCCAAAAATGACGAAAATGTCACTACCTTGGTCATCAAACCAAAACAAGTGAACCTATTTTGATACTTCTTCATCTAATGAACGAAATCCAGATAACAGAGATCTGTTTTCGGCAATTGCCGAAGAGTAATTTGATGTCGAAGTCGTCGTAAAAGAATACGCCGAGCAGCAGTTCCAACCGCAAGCCGGAGATAAAGAGTTAAAGCACACAAAAAATGTAAACTTGTAGTTTCCAAGACTCTTAAGCTTAGGTATTCCCCAAAATTTGGAAGCCATTTTATCACTAATTTCATCTGATACCGGGTGACCCCCACCTCATTAATCGCAAATATCTCCACTTTTTTTTTTCCCAAGATAGATGGGCACTCATTCTTCAAAAGCAAGACAAATAAACAAGTTTTAAGATGATACCAAAAACTCCACATAAACAAGATTTGATGAGTGCCTGATTCCACCGGATTGTGACACATTTGTGGGTAGATTTTAATGAAAAACATTGATGACCATAAAAAAATGTTAATTTGCAGTTTCCAAGGACACTCAAGCTTTGGAAGTCACCGAATTTTGGGGCCCATATTCAGGCTTATTCTACCTCTGACACCAGGTGAACCCCACCTTCTTCAATCTCAAATATCTTGACTTTTACACTAAACAAATAGGAATGTTTTTTCTCAAAAGCAAGACAAATGAACAAGCTTTAAGACACTACCAATAACTCTATACTATAAGCCCAAAACTGTACAAGCGTCTGATGCGCCTTGTGACACATTTCTTGTCTTTTTTAGAACAAAGCATCAAGCATAATATTATCAATTATTCTTTCTACTCAGTTGGTTCAGGTTTGAGGCAGGTTTGAGACCCCTGCCTCGGTGTAACTGTCCACCAACCTCCTTGTCCAGTGGACGAGGTAAATATGACCCAGGAGAGAGCCAGTGACCAAGCGGGCCGGGATAACGCTTCGTAGACAGCTATCTCCGTCCAGCTCCAGACATAATTTGAGCCAGCTCCATTTTGATCTAACGTAACAAAGGTCAGGACGGTTGTCACAGTAACTGCCAATACCCAGCCAGTGTATAGGGGCATCTGGAAGTACACAAAGACTGTGATTTTATACCACTTGATTGTCATCATCAAGATAAGGTAAGACAAGATCAGATAAGATAAGATAATACTTTATTATACCAGAGAGAAATTTTTCTTTGCTGCACAGGAACATAAAAACACATGCAGGTATGCATAAAAAGTTCAAATTATATATTATTCTCAGTAAAATTTAATATGAAAAGAGAAGTAAAGCTGAAAAAAATGTACATATCACATCAGATGCATCATTCAACCACATGCAGGAATTTAATTACAAGACCTATATATATTCTAAATAGCAATACACATCTATGCTTATTCTGACAAAGTCAACGACAGAAACCTCTACTTCCCACTCATCCTCAGCCAGATCCTTATCTCATTCAAATATAAATAAAAGTGTTCACCATCGTACACAAATAGCCCAGCTGCTTCCTTAATAAAGCCCCGAAATGTCCACCTAGTCCCTTCACAACTTTCAAAGAAGTATCGACAAAATGTAAACAAGAGTGGAAAACTGTCAGCAGCCTGATTTTGATCCAATGAAGATTAACAGAAAATTTCTTAATGCTCAATATGGGTCCATAAATCGTTACATAGCCAGCGCTTCAACAGAGTCCAACATATTTTGCAAGACCATTTCAATTCTTTGTAGAAATTATGCAGTCGCAAATGAGGGAGGGGGGGGGGAGCGAATTTTTTGGAGAATATGCCAATGCATCTAGCTCTCTGTCAACTTTTCTGAAAGACAAGTTACAAAACTAAAGATAAGACTTAGAAACAGCAGCCATGGACAAATAAATATGTGATTTAAAGAGACAATGGACACTTGTACTTACATACTTTCCTACTTGGTTGGAGAACAGGCATCATTGCAGGCGGCACAATGCTGTAGCTGCTCCTCCCTCCTCTCCAGGATCCATGAAAGTGTCTGCCTGCTGATCGTGCCAGTTAACAGCTGATTGGATATTCTTCTTGCTTTTCTACGTAGGTTGCTGTCTCTCCCCGACCCTCTAGAGACACCAACTTCCCTTAGTCTATCAATTGTGAGTGATGTGGTGCCTTCATCTTCTCTGTCAATGCTGCCATGACTGTTGGTGGATCTAAATACATGGTGCAGCCAATCTCTGCCTGGCCGGCTAGCTTATCAGCACGATCATTGCCTTGAACTCCTGCATGACTAGGTCTAAAATTCCAGACAATCCTTGTGAGTCTGCTGCTTCGTATTGCCTCTCACCAGTCTGCATACATCATGTGTTTCTTCACTTTTTCTAAGGTACTCATTGAGTCGGTGACGAGGATGGAAGACTGATACTCCGTCATCTTAATCCAGTTAAGGGCTTCTGTGGTGGCTTTCATTTCACTGCACATGCTGGACGTGGTTATACTGGTGGCGCCTGACAGCTCTCTCTGTATGACCCCGTTTACACGGGCGCTGAAAGCCCATCCAGATTTGACACCACGCTGTACTGATCCATCTGTGAAGATGACTACGTCGCCTTGTTCACTATTCTCCTTATTCTCCTCTATCAGCGTCTCTACTACAGTATAGGTTGCTCCCTCTGGCCACTCATGACATTCTCTGCCTAAGGTTGCTGCGACTCGAGTATACTGCTCGGGTGTGTCAGTGACGCTGACCCATGCGCTGCCCCTTTGGATGTCTTGCACTTCACAGCATTTACCCAAAGTCGTCGCTGCCTCATTCATCCATTCAGTCCCTCAAAGCAGACGGGTGCGTACAGTTCTTCCCACTTGTACTTAAATACATGTTCTTCCCACTTGTACTTAAATAAATATATGTTGATAAAGCACTAGTGTAACGAACTTGGGAGAGGTCAGGCCCAATGACCTCGCCATAGCCAAGTTTCAATGCATTAGCTCTCAAAGCAATCCCAATATCTAACCAGAAATCTTCAGAGCGACTATAATGTCAATTGATATCAAGTTGTGGATGTTGGTCTTTTCGAGCTCGGTACACCATGTGCCCATTTAACAAACCCTGGTATAAAGCCACACCATGTGCAAGTCTGATTACCTCGATATGAAGACACATCGTGTATCCATCGGGTTACCCTCAATATAAAGCACATCGTGCGTCCGGTTGCTTTTCCCTCGATCTAAAGTTCCCACCTGATGACCGCGGTCAGCAGACTGATAGCGCACTGACCTTCTTGAGCTTCCAGGTCCTGTCATAGTGATAGAGAATGTAGCCCAGTCCCAGACCGATGCAGTAAACCCCAATACGACTGTACGGCTTGGTGTAGATCATGGACCAGTACTTGTTGACGTGCATGCTGTGAACAGGAGGTTTGTTTGTTTGAGAAAAGAGAAGCACATAAACACAATAATGGTAATTCAGTGCAGAGAAAAAGGAAGGCAAACAGACAGACTGACAGAGTAGAAAGTAAACAAGTAGGACATACCAGTGGCACCCTCCAACCAAGGAAGGAGGGAAGGGTTGAGAGAAGAGAAGAGGAGAAGGGAAAGGAGGGTTGGCAGGGGAAACGATACAGTACTTTACACCATTTAGAGCATTGGGGGGTGAAGAGGGGGGATATGAGAAGATATAATATAATATACCACCTTGATCTGATGTGCTCTTTGATGTTGCATGGCTGAAAAATTGAGTTTGATTCCCGTCTATTTCAAAGAGCATCTCAGCCTATCTGCCACAATGCTGAATCCCACTCAGTCCAGGTGGATCATAACAAGCAAAATCAAACGTCCTGCCTCTTAAATAATTGCACTTTGTCTTTGAGGTGATGGGGGTGAAAACATTTACAATCACTTTGGAGAGAGATGACAGAAAGTTAAAACCATAAACAGGCCTTCTATATCTGAAAAACTTTAAAAACTATTCAGCGGTGCACTCTTCAGACAATAATCATGGAAACTAAAGGACGAAGGAAACAGAGGGTTACACTAAGTCTTCCAGGTCACATTCAGAGCAGACTCTTTATCATCATCATCATTATCATAAGTGCCAGACATCGTTGATCATAGTTCTCCATTCACTTCTCCGCTCAGAAGCTCTAAATGATATAATCCCATATTATCTTTATTTCCATCGTCACCCATCTGTTCAGGTTTTCCGAATAACGTTCTCTGGGTCTGCCTCTGCCTCGTTTGCTTTCCATTTCTTCCCTGAGCAAGACGTTCAAAGCCCTTTTGTCGAGTCAAGTGTCCCAGAAACCCCATTTGTCACTTTCTAATTGTTCTCATTTGCGGGCAGCCGACCTGAGTTTCTTTCAGTACTTCCTCCTTTGATTTCTGTTCTGTCCAAGAACTACCGACAATCTCACCTGAGCACGTTGCCGTTGTTGCCGCGACTGAGACCAGCAACCACCATCATCTCCAGCACCACACAGACACCAATCAGAGTAAAGCCCACACTGGGTTTACTGTAGGGCACAACAGATTCATTGATATTTTGAAATAAAAATGTGAAGAACACCACACAGATACCAATCAGAGTAAAGCCCAGACTGGGTTTACTGTGGGGCACAACAGATTCATTGATATTTTGAAATAAAAATGTGAAGAACACCACACAGATACCAATCAGAGTAAAGCCCAGACTGGGTTTACTGTGGGGCACAACAGATTCATTGTTTATTTAAAATAAAAATGTGAAGAACAACAATCTTCTTTTATTTTATTTTTTTATTTATTTATTTTTTTTAAATATTTTTTTTTATGGGGGGGGGGGGGGGAGTGTTTCACGGCGGTCGCAACTGCATAAGGTCATATGGGTGCGCGAGACATATTAAACTTTTACAGTTGGTAGGACATTTTGAATTTTGCCCGGGTGGCGGCCGAAGCCGACTCTTATAGATTTTAGACCACCAAGGGATCTTTAACGTGTGCAACTTGCCCACGGACCCTCCGAGATTTTTCGCCCTTGTCCGAGAAGGCTAGGTGTAGATCTTTCCTACCAGAAGATTAGGGGTGTCGCTGAAAGGCAGTAGTAAGAAGGAGCCAGGGAAAAACAGTAGAAAGGCTTCAGAAAGAGAAAAGGAGCCCACAGGAGGAGGCAAAGGAAGTGAGGGGGTGAGGACAGAGAGAGGAGACGAAAGCAGACGACAGAACATTGCTAGAGAGCAGGAAAGGAGGTGAAAGGAAACAATTTTAAAGAAGAAAATGTTATGGTCGATACCCGGATTCGAACCTAGGACCTTTGAATGAGAGGCCAACACCTTAACCTCCAGGCCACGAGAGCTCCCCCCCCCCCCCCCCCACATCTTCAAGAAGGAAAAACAAATTAATACAAGTAATAACCCACGAACCGTCAGAATCAGTCAATCCCGTTATCAGACCAGAGATGTATGCAGATCATGAATAAAAAATTTGTTTCTTGTAAGTTGAGAAAGAAAACTATCACGACGGTTTCAAAAACTGAAAACACAAAAGCACAAATATCGATAAAATCTTACAAGGTATAGTGGCATGTTAACATCAAACTAAAACAAAATCAAAGAGTGGCCGTTACCACGTCAACTTATTGAAAAAATCCCTTTAAAAAAACATTTCAGCTGGTGAGGTTCTCCCACTATATGCCTGAGAAACATTATTTTAAGCCTACTGATATGTCTTTCTTTAATGAACCCTATTGACCCATGCCCACGATCAAAGCCTGAGCATACTGTCTTTACTCGACTTTAGACAGAATGCCCTCAGTGAGCGACATTAAACACCTATCTAAAAAGATGCTCAGGAAACGGGTCCGAGGTTACCAAATCTCAAAGAGAGAACCTTTCTCTATTCAGTGTGAGAATTGATAAATTGGCACTGATGTTGCTAATTAACAAACGGATAAAAAGCAACATTCCCAGCGTGTTCTGATAAAAATAGTCCAGCGTCAGCCAACAAAAAAAAGGGGGGGTACCTCAGACACCTTATACTGAAAGATGCAACCAATTCAGACCCTCATATTTCAGCACCATCAAAAAACATACCTACCATGTGTCTTTTCAAAAGGAAAAGCACAGGTTCTCTGTCTCTGTCTGGACTCTCTTCTAGGAGGAAACCTTCTGGTAAAGAAGGAAAGAAAAAAAATATCACCTCTCTCACACTTCAAACAAAGATACTTTACCCCTTTTTGGCAAGCACATATTCAACAGCCATCATCACAAGACTGGTCACAAGAGAATCAAACTTACACGTGAGGAAACCTGACAATAAACACATATATCTATGCACCTTCAAACTACACCTATCACAATAATCAAAACACATAGGCAAATACTCACCATATCAAAGGTACCAGCACAATTGGGGAGAAAAGGAAAAACTGGAAATCGTTGGCCAAGAAGTAAGTGTGTGAAAGGCACTGGAAAAAAGAGAAGAACAAATTTTTAAAATGCTCAGGCATCAATAAGGTTAGTCAAACCTTACTCAAACACAGTAATAATTCTCCATACATTTCTGGGCACATTTGTATGGGAGCATTTTGCTTTAAAACTTTATGCTTTACACAATGTGTCCTTTGTGTGACTATACATATGAGACTGTGGATCATCGCCTGTTCCACTGCACAGCCCTAAATGACATCAGAGCTACCCTTCTCCCTCCGAGACCTAACATTGACAACACTATGGAACAATACAGTAACTGCAGCGCACCTTCACTTATCACTACATGGCATTGGACAGAAGGGCGAGAGCCCTGCTATTGCTGGATCGATAACAACAACATCAACTCCAACAACACAATAAGAGTAGATTTTGTTCATTTGAGGTGTTTCCATCAACATAAGGATTCCTTTAACCCCTTTGTTGCCTTATGACTTACTCAGTACATTGCGTATTTAGCTCTGAGGCTTACCACGGACATCACAGAAGTTGACACAATGTGCTATTCCTAGTTGCCCATAGAACATTACAAGTAAGTACCACTAAAAGTTTTGGTTTTTTTAGTTTTCGTAAGAATATTATGGCCCTATAAAGGCCACATAAGTGCCGAAGATTAGAGGTGTTACAAGAGAGTAACAAACACAAAAAAGGAGGAGAGAGAAGGACGATAGTTTTTTTTATAGGAAAGAAGGAGCAAACCACACCAGAGCACCCACCAACAATCCACACTAAAAGTTAACATAAACAACCTGCGAGTCAGCTTCAACAGTCACAACCACTAATGAAAGCACTACAATTACAACCACTGCTATGGAAATAAAAACACACCAAAGTTAAAATCTAAGTAACAGAACCAAACACAGAACACTCACTTTTGTGGGGTAACAGTAAGGTTCCAGGCCACCACACACAGAAGACGTGAGTGGAGAGGCATTTGGGGGGGGGGGGTATTTTATTTATCTCTGCCTTTCTGCTGAAGTACTGTAACGCACTCAACCCGTGTTGGACATGACAGTCAACGTAAAAGCACCTTGCAACCAAAATTATCTAAATTGTATCGCTGGGGGCAGGTAATATTTACAGCAACTTTTAATTTTTTTCCAAACATAGAACTGTGAAGACAACTCCTACCATATGGTCCGGGTCGTAAAAGTTGTTGACAAACAAAACGTTGGACCACCAGTTGCGTTTGCAGGTCTGTGAAACTTGAGTGCGAATCTTCCAGTGAGGGCCTGTGCCCAGGTAGGGAAGGATGTTGGTTCCCAGCAGCAACAGAATGATGTAGTTTGGGAAGATCCTGTCCCAAATGTATGCACTTTATGTTTTTTCACATTTATTTTTCTAACATTTCCTATTGTTCTTAAGAGGGGGGGGGGGCTACAGCTGAAGGCTATCTCGCTTATTAGTGGACCAAATGCTACCAAAATTTACACATATAACAAACATAGTAAGGAGTCTTAAAATCCGCAATCAATTTGGATAAAAAAAAGTTTTGTTTCCATGGATACGGCGGCCAAATTGGATTTTGTTGACACAGCTTATGTAATTAATACCACACTTTTTTTCCATGGAAATAAATTGCTTTTTTGCATGCATCTTGGCAAACCATAGATCTACAAATCTGTGAGATGAATTTTTCCTAAATGTCCTAGAACATTTTTAATGAATTTTTTTCCTGCAGTAGTGTTCACGTTTGCAAAAAATCCATGAGAGTTTTTGTTTTTTTTAATCCAGAAAAGTAATGAGCCGAATCCTGAAAAATGACTACAAAAATGAAAGTTCTGAAATGCTATGTATGGTCAACCCTTCCATATGGCTGTGAATGCAGTACAAATACTAAAGACAGTGAAAATAAAATAGAAGCAACAGAAATGTGTTTTTTTAGGAGACTGCTGAGAATATCGTGGAAGGAAAAGAAATCAAATGAGGTATTGCTTGATGAAGCCCACGTGGGACGCTCACTGTTAAAAACAGTCAGGAAACGACAAATGCTGTTTTTGGGACACCTGAATAGACATAAAGGTCTTGAACATCTAGCTAGCTCTCACTGGTGAAATTGAAGGCAAACGAGGTAGAGGTAGGCCCAGAGCAACCTACTTAGGGAACCTAAACAAATGGAAACACAGATAGCTTTTTCAAGAGCATCCAAGCAAAGGAATGAATGGAGAACCATGATCGCAGATGTCTGCCACAGTTCTGGCACTGGATGATGATGGTGAGTGTATTTTCATCTGACTGCTAAGATGTTGTATCCCTCTCAGCCTCAGTTGGCCCTGACAGAGGGGTCAAAGCAGCCATCCTCTTTAAAGCTCTAAACTGTGTCAATGGGGGAGCAAAACATCCATAATTATATATATAATATATAATATATATATAATATGGCATTTATATATAGCATGTATGCCCTATTAGAGTACACAGACTCCGAGCGCTTTATAATACAACAGTAACATATTATGGTCAGTACACTGTGTTCTAACCAAAAGAAAATATGTGAAAGTTTTTAGAACAATCAAGGGGCATGCCACTTCCACATAGGGAAAAAAAAGGATTTCTGAGATCCTTGGAAATTAACAAGTAATTTTCACCAAATACATATGAGCCCCCCTGATGAAACCATTCAGCACACAGGAAAATAAACCAATGAGAAGCATTGCCACTAAAGATTGCACCATTAACTTCAAATACTAAAAACACTTTCAACACCAAACAAACGGGTATTATCCGCGCCACATAAACTACAGCTGCTCCTCCACATTTTCACTTTTTGGTAACTCTACAAACTAATTTCGGCCCCTCCGCAAGACATCGGGAGTGCTCAAGCAAGAACAGCACACAACACTGCCACTGACCTGATGATGCGATGAACTATCATCAAGGTGTACTCCTTCACACTCAACACATTACACGGATTCCTCTCCTTGTCCATCTCAGATTTTATGGACAGGAAGTTATAAGCCCCCAGAGTGCCACTGTGTACAAGAACAGACGCCAATCAAGATCTAGCTCAAGTAATGATTCTCGGGAATAAATAAGTAACCACTTCCTCCCCCCCCCCCTTCCAACCACCAAACCCCAAAAAACCTCCACTCACCCATCTCATGAGTTCTTAAGAAAATAACGAACAAATGCTTATACATGTTATCATGGAACAGATAGTGCAGATTTTCAGGAAATAAGCCATTCCATAAAAAGTTAAATTGCAGTGTCACATGAGATTCTGATCTGCTGAAAAAAAAAACTACATGAGGCTGTGATAGAGCCATTCTTTGTTTTTTGTCAGAGGTAACCTTCCTCTACAGTTATACAAGTACATGTAACTTACTTTGAATTAATTGATGGGCATCCACAACTACACTTTGATATGTATTAAAACGTAGTGTCAATATGGCGGCATACGTAACTTGGAATGGCTCAAACTATAATGCAGTATTAAACAGACACACCTCCACAGCGCATCCCCTCTTTTTGAACAAACGTTAATAGGTCTTGCTAAAAAAACCCACATCAAATGTGGATGGTTGGTAGGTGCTCTAGCCTGGTATGCTCCTTCTTTCCCATCAAACATGTGTCAACCTTACCTCTCCCTTCCTTTTTGCGTTCGTTACTCTCTTGTAACACCTCCAATCGTCGGCAATTATGTGACCGTACTGTGTTATAAGTACCGTTAAACCCTTACTAAAACTAAACTTTAAAAAGACACCTCAAAAGGTTCACACATTTAAAACAAGGCTCAACTAACTTTGCTTGACATTCTTCCGAGAACCTCTGCCCACAAACCACTCAACTGTTGGGTCCATTATTGCACCAACCAAGACAGTTTCAGTATTGGACCAGCATTTGTTGGGTGATGCTTAGACATTTCACCATGGCGCACAAGCAGAAGATGTTATTTCAATTCCCAAGCGGGGAGACTTTGTTTTTTTTTAAATCACGTATCTCTGTCTATCTGCTGGGGCATTGGTTCCCTCTCAACCTGGGTTGGACATGATAGGCAGGGTCAAAGCATTCCACCTCCAATATGATTTGTCTCTAAAGGGACGTAAAATATTATGTCACATTAGATCAGTATGCTGGTAAAGAGAAGGGACCACAAAGTCACTTCACCTCAGTATGAAAAAAGAGTCAGCAGCCAAGGTTGTGTTGATGAAAGCTTGCATCCACCAGGACTGAGCCATGCGAACTAACCACAGTTGGTTATCTGGTGGGAGAGAGAAAACAACACTGAGCATACTTTAAGTGTTCACCACCTTTTAACTTTTACAGACAGATCACAAGCCACTTGCAAAAAGAATTCCGATTATACCCTTCATTGCTTATATCAACAACTTTATTAAGTTTTAGCTTAACAGAAGAAGAAATTTTCAAGCAACAGGCCTCTGGAATTGGTTTTTGTGGTGTAGCAAGTAAAATATGTTCACTGAAAAGCCATTTACATACAATTTTATGTTTTTACAGAATGGGAATTATAAACCTGAGGATTCTTTCAGTCTTTGTATGCCTCAGCATTATCATCGGCTACGTGAAGAAAAAATAAATGAGTATGTGCATAGTCATTAAATAATTGTGTAACTCTTCAAAGTACCACTTTTGACTGAATTCAAACCGTGTTTACATTTTTTTAGTCATTCAGTGCTTTAAATGATTTAAATAGTGAAAGTCACAGCTCTTTCTGATCAGGTATAGAGAACCTACTTTCGAGCACTTTGAACATTTTCTTTGCGGTATCTACTAGATCATCCACTTACTCAGCAGCTCAGGGTGGCTGTACAAAATGCCAACAACATTTCCCATGACTATCCAAGTGATGCTCATCACACGCACACCATTCAGAGGGTGCAGCTTGTCCAACGAATCGGCAAATAGCAAATAGCTGGCATTGGCTCGGAATGAAAATGACAGCAACAGGTCCGTGAAAACATTTTCTTGTGAGAGAAAAAAAAGGAGAAAATTGTAAATTTGAATGATGGCTACAGTCTGGTATTCTTTGAAAACAGATCCTTAAAATTATTTTACCAATAACACCATTTGCTGGCATGTCCACTAAAACTAGTGAAAGAGATGTACGGGTTCGGCTCTTTGCCTTTACTCTAAAAAGAAACAAGTACACTTCCCATGAGTGAAACTCCATTTCATCAAGTATCTCATTTGTTTTCGATGGGATACTGTATCCCTCTCAGTTATGGATTGGCCCAAGCAGGCAGCTCGCCTCCAATATGGTTTAATTCTATTGATTTAGACATAAAACATGTGAGGGATGCCCAACCTAACAGACTATTGTGGCTGTTGTCAAAAACATTTTTCCACTTCTGCTGACTGCCAAGTGCTCATTTCCAACAAATTGTACTGGAGGATCAAGAACTACTTTGGGTTTTTTGTGATATTTCTGACTGTACGGGCAAAGTCATTTCAATAAAACAAATAGAAGCCACATGTTAGCCTTATGTGCAAGCCAAACTACATCAGATGCACTCCTTTTCTATCCCGCATGAATACAAACATGAATGAAACCACTTAATCCGGTCTTTAACTCCTTATCTCTGGCAACCTGCTCTCAGCAGCTCGTGGTCAGAACCACTGTGTCGGTGAGCTGTTGGCAGTGGGTTGGGCACTCCTTTATACCTACTTTGACTTCATATTCGTATTCAACAATTGCCAGAAACAGGTCTCTATAACCAGGATTTCTTTCATTGGATAAATAACTTTCAAAATAGGTTCACTAGTTTTGATTTGATAACCAATTCAGTGAATCATACATATATATAGATCTAGAAGGGGCTGAGATGCAAAACCCGCTTCATCCATTTTAGCACTCTTGAGAAGATCAGCTTTTTAAAAATAATGCTGCTATACGAACGAACATGCGAAAAAAGAAGATTTTTTGGTGACTTTTATGAAGTATGTTTTGGGTTTGGGCCTAAAACACATTGTGTATCTAATAGCCAGTAACAATGTACAATCTCAGTTTTTTCCAAAATGTCGCTTAGAGGATTTTGCATCTCACTCCCTCGTATGTCGCTTTTAGGTTTCATACTAAAAGATGGTCTAGCATTAGTGGGAAAACCCTCTCCCAAGAAAAAAAAAGTTATCAGTAGTAAAATCAAACATACCACCTCCTAAACATACTTATAGCAATTAAAGGACTATTCAACAAGATAAACGGTTAGGAAGAAAAATCTCAAATGTCCAAAAATTGAAGATTTTACAGAATTGTCAAGCAGGAAACTGTTTTCTCACCTGAAGCCACGTACCTCTTGATGCGGTGGGAAGGTCGCAGTTCAAAGGAACCTGGTTTAGCTGTAAGCCTCCGAGCATCCAAGAAGCCGGGGGTCAGACTGGACTTTTCTGATAATTTACTTTCTGCAGCTATCGACCTTCTCGACTGTCTGGTATTGTTTCTAATGGCAGAAGCCAACTATAAAAGAACAGATGTAATAGTAATTGAAATTACAGCCCCATTGACTCAATTTAGATCATGTAGGATGGCGCAACCCTGCCTGTCAGAACCAACCTGCGTTGAAAAGGATACAACATCCCAGCAGACAGACCCAAACACCACCCCCCCCCCCCCCAAAAAAAAAAGCTGCTCACATGGGAATCAGACTTAGGCCTTCTGCATGCGACGGTGAAGGACCAAACCACCATAGCACACACATTGGTAGTGAGAGAGAAACAGTGTGGAGAACACTGTAAGAAAGAAAGGGTGGGGATATCTCTGTTGGAGTTAACTAATGAGAATCTGTTTAATTTTTGTAGGCATTTTACGGCATTTGCAACACAATTAGGTCATATACTAGCGTTGAAGATTAGAGGTGTTAAAAGATAGTAACAAACACACAAAAAGAGGAGGAGAGATAACGAGGATAGATGTTTAATAGGAAGAAGGAGCAAACCACATTAAAGCACCCACCAACCACCCGCACCAACCAAAAGCAGCTGTTTGGTGCAGAAAAGAAGGCAAACAGACAGAACATCCAAGTAAAAAAAAATTGGCAGAAACTACAAGTGGTACCCTGCAGCAACCACCCACAACAGTATCAAAGATATATATCTCTGCATAGGAGTTAACGAAATGCTCTTTGAGAAGCACTAGGTGCACAAATTTTTTTCCTCAGCCTGTGCTGTTGTTGTGCTGACATTACACGTTTCATATCAAAATTCATGCTCAATTTTGTACACAAAAAACAAAATAAAACCAACGTACGAGTATGAATCAAACACCCAAAAAAAAACTTTGACTAAAACAAAAAAGACCAAAAAAAAACCTACAAAATGAAATCAAAACAAAACCAATCTCGACAACCAAAAAAAACGGAATTGACAAACACCAGAAGCAAGAATTATTTCCACATAACTTTTGCCTGTAAGGTTTATCAGAGAAATGAAAACTGACACGTGACTTGCGACGAGAACTCCTACCATCAGCCTCATTCTTCTGGTCCTCGATAAACCTAGGCAGACTCTGTTGTGGAGTTACGGTACAACACAAGTTAGAACAGACACCTATTGGTCAAATAAACAGGTATTATATTACTATCTCTCCCGTCGCATGCGCAAGTACTGCACAGCACTTTTCCACTTCATTTTTATCTGTTTTATACGAATTTCAACTTTACATTTTTTTAAAAGGTTTTGTGCGAGTTTTACGGTAAAGAGTCATATAGGTGCCAAAGATTAGAGGTGTTACAAAAGAGTTACAAACACAAGAAGAAGGCGAGCAAAGGGCGATAGATGTTTGATAGGAGAGAAAGAGCAAACCACACCAGAGCACCTGACAACCACACACCAATTTCAACTTTATATCCATCACAGATTATTAGTTTCTGAGATTCAGTGGAGTCAGCTTAAACCAAAATCTGTAGGACGGCCAGATTTTGTTCAGTTAAGTTATGTTTTTGATCTAGAGCGGACTCCACTGTATTTTGTGTTTTTCTTTAAAAATTCTTTTGGGTCTATTTAGGTTGACAAGTAACTGTACGATGTGAGGATTGAGCTCACAACTTCTGCTTGCTATAGAGATCAAGAGCTAAACCATTGATCTACAGGCACCAATGGACATTTCAGGGGAGTAAAGGCAAGAGCTGACAGGGTCCTTTGATCTGCGAGTCAACAGCAATTCTCCAAAGATAAAACCCATGAAAGCTGGGCTTTAGTTCCACATCCTACAGTCACCATCTACTAAAATTTGGCAGGGACTTCAAAAGACAATGACAGTAGAGGAAACGAGTTTCATATTTAGCCCAACCTCCTCCAGTGAGTCATCCTCCCACTGCACAACCTTGATCACTTCTACCTCTGACAATGATTTCGGTCGGAGCTGCTGAGCAATTCTGCCAAATATTGAGAAAAAAGAACATATGTTTAAAACTAACAAAGGGCACCCATTTGCAAGGCTGGAAATGACAATAATGGAAATTTGGCCCTCAAATAAACAAGAACCATAATGCAATATATCACGACATACACATAAAACTATTTACCAGCAAAAGCAGCAAAGGTTATAGTTTTACAAAATACATGTAGCACAGATGTTTATCAAAAGGCAAACCAACCATCCCTGGATTAGTAGGGGACTTTACTTACTTAGAAACAAGGAACCATGAGAGGACACCTTCTGGCATTTTATTCCCGACAGGCCAAATCCATTCATCTGAAGTACATTCCTCTCCCCAATCATCATGCCACTTGACAATGAACTCATACAAGGAACCCAGCAGTGTCATCAGCAGGAAAAAACACAAAACCAGTCTGAGGAAATGGATTTTTTTTTTGTTGAAATCTAAATTCCTCTGCAGCAAAAGAAAAATCTGGGCTTTCTTTTTGTGTACTTGAGTTCACAGAATAAAAGCTCTAGAGCAACAGGATTGCTATCGTCACCGTTCAAAATATAGCAGTCCTTTCTTCATACTTCATACATAATAAAACAAGGGTTCTGCTATCGCCACACTTATAACAACAGGACTGCTGTCTTTACATAGTATGAAACATAAGGATTGCTATTATCACACAAGACAATACAACAGCATTACTATCTTCACACATTACAAGCAAGAGAATAGCTAGTTTCATACATTACAAACCAAAAGAAATGTTATCTTCACACACTCAAATGTTTGACGAAATACAGCAAGCCAAGAATACAGCAGACCCGACCCAATAACTCAAATTGTTACTAAGCATAGAAGAACATTTCCAATTTTTGAATCTCAGCACAAAAAAATACATTTACCACATGCAAGGCTGGTCTTCCGGATACCTCCCTCTTCTAATATCTAATTTCTAATATGGAATTTTTTTTTCTGGCTCCCTTGTGACAGATTCGACTGTATATATGCTATTATAGTGGAGACAAATCTACTTACACAGAAATGAGTGCTGCAGGGTCCTTTGTGATTTGGTGGGAATACTGGCAGGATACAGACTCCACTGTCACATTGCGGTCTCTGGTGTTCCGTTTCAAGACTGCAATCAGAACAATTCAATGCAAATAATATACAGCCAACGTTGAATGACCCCATGGAGAGACACAATTTAGACCACCTCAGAGTCAGAGGCTGGCTGATTCCACCCTGCTAGTCAGGGTCAACCCTAGCTTTATGAAATACAATATCCCAGCAGACACACAGAAACACTCACACAGGAATCAAACTCACATATTCTGCAAACAACAAGAAAGAGCTGAATCATTACACCCAAGTATGCAACGAAAATGCAACATTACATTCAGATGATATAAAAGAAATGCACATGTCAATGCCAACATTATTTATGAGCTTGTTTAGACAGTGAGGTAAGAAATTCAGTATGAGTTAGGTAGCCCCCCCCCCTAAACTACTTGACCTAATGCACAACATCCCAGGTCATCATGGGGGCCGCTAAGGTACGACAGTTGTCTTACAGAACATAAAACAGCAGGCTGTGATTGGCATGACTCAAAGATATGATGACTTATACTTTACTGTTACCAGAGAAACCTTCATCCTCAAATGATGTGGTGGCCATTACTCTCCATGTGTCATGCTGATCAGGCAGACTTATTTGCTATGCGTTTGTTTTGATTTTTAAAGGGGTTTTTTTCTCCTCCTTCCTCCTCATTCTTCATGTGGCAATCCAGTTTTCCTCACAAATGAAGCAGTCCGTCAAAGTGCGACCGAGCTGGAAGAAAGCTTGTCTCAAAATGATACTGACTCTGGCTGCAAATTCATTTTAGAATTGTCTTGTTGTTTATGTATCCCTGAAGCAGATGGTCTGTGGTCAAGAGTGTCATTTTGCACACAGCAGTATCGTTTATTACTTGGTTATTGTGGCTCAGAGTTTGGATCAACGGACAAATTGTGGCTAATCCCCCATCCTGCTAGAGTGTCCACATCAACAAAAGCCTGCTGACAGTCTCCAAAAGGACCTGGTCCATGTTTTGAATCATCACAAAGTTCCTAAAACTTGACTTTTCCCACTGATCTCTTTCTCTGTTGACTTTCCCTATATCAAAGTTATCAGAGCGGTTTCATCAATCACGCCAAACCATTGTGTTGTAAATGTGACACATTGAAGCAAATGTAGAGGGATGCCAGTCACCAAACTTATTTTATCAAATAAAAAAGACATATACACATGTGGGTCATGAAAGTGTATCCAATGTGAGCTTATTCTTACATGCATCCACAAGGTTGAAAATGTCCGACTTGGAGCATAGCTTGGGTACACAAACGTCCACAAAGAAAGAGGGGACTTGCATAGAGAATGGAACTTTCTGAAGATGACAGAAAAGATACAGCAATGCACAGTAGAGACGGAATATGTGAATAACAGTGGTATGCACCTAACAAACTGCATTACTGGAAATAACATTTTAGCATGAACATATAGAACATTAAGGGGATACACGACTTTAAATTTTATACTACAAAAGTTTCATTCCATATGTGCATCTCATTTCCAGACAAGAACAACTAGAAAAAAACAGATACTTCAAATGAAGAGCTTAAAACAGTGTTTTATCATGCTTTAACAGAAACACAGGCCAAAATTTTAGCATTTTGCTCTACTAGGAGGTTTAATGAAAATATGTTCAAGGGCAAGTCCAGGTCATCCCAATATTTTTTTCAACCCTGCAAGATCTTTTCCTCTCGTATGGAAATTCAAAATATTAATTCAGAGGTTTTACAGATCAGTGTACCTTCCAGCCCAGGAGGCTAACCATTTTTCTCACATTTCAGAGCAATCAAGATACATTTTCAAAAAATTATAAACAGTATTTTGACAAAATACCACTTGAAGGCATCCCATTTACTCCTTATCTCCAGCAAGCCGCTGCCAGCAGCTCAAGGTCAGGACCAATGTGTCGGTGAGCCCCTGAAAGTGGCTCGAGCACATTCCTTTACAACAACTTTGACATAGTATTAATTTTTGGAAATTGCCGAAACAGGTCTCTTTTACCGGGAGGTTTTTTTAGATGAAGAACTTTCACAAAAGTATCATTTCTTTTGATCAAACAGATTAAAGACGTATATATGTCACTTTTATGTTTCGTACCAAAAGAGGGCCCCGGCAGAGTGGGAAACCTACTCCGGAGATAATGAGTTAAAAGATTTGTTCAAATCCTGTGAGAGGGTGAAAACAGTACAGACTAACTGCTTTGGCTCTTTAGATACAGTCACTTAAAGTAGGGAGTTGGAAACACCGTTTTGAGAGAACATTATTGAGGTTTTACCCAGTATCTCAAAACACGTGAGTGCAATGAACAACTCAATAGCTACACAAATTAATGATCTTGCATAATATATTTACAATAAAAGAAAAAACACCAAATACCATAAGAAAGACATACAAATGCTTTGACGAGTGATGGAATCCACGGGGCTGAAGACATGTACACGGCACAAAACTGTGGTGAAAGGCTGACACTTTTGGAGTCTGCACTTTTGTCCTTCAGAACTTCCACTACACACTGATCATAGCTGCTTTTCCAGGCAGTACCACCAAACAACACCCCAGACGGCTGCTTTCCTGTAGCATCATACACTGAAATGTAAGAAATGTTGTGACAACGGCCTCCAGCTCACAGCATCTCAATCTGGATACACACTTTTTAAAGGAAGAGAAAAAAAATGATTTTCTCAAAACTGGAAGTGGTTCATGCGTTTTGAGTATATAACAGTTGGCACATTATGTTGGTTCAATGGTTTAAACATGTAAACAGAAGTGCTGTGAAATGACGTTACCTTACTATACGGGTGTCAGCATAACAGCAAGCCCCTTAGGAAGCGCTCGTGGCTAACATATCAGTACTGAGCGCTCGCTACGTCACTAGCCCAAGGCCATCAATGAGCTACTGAACCATATTATCTTACCAAAATAGCAAGGGGGATGTTAATTTTAACTTCATTCCAATTAAAGCTTCTTTTTTGTGTATGTGAATGCCCTCCATTTTTTCCATAGCTCAATTCCTCTTTCAACAGTCTAAGTTTGCTTCGTGGTGACTGGAAACTTTCAACACGAAGCGAAAGATAAAAATCATCACGGTACACTAAGTATTCCAGATATCCCTCTATCAATCTGATCAACAATCTTTCTGAGCTATGCATCAGAACCCTTTAAAAAAGATATATTCCATGGTAAAATCAGTGGTATAAATAACTATAGCACCTTACAAAACAGCCAAAGACTAAGTTAAATAATTCTTTTTTTTAAACATAAACTAAATCGTTCATGGACTGAACAGCAAAGTATTTCAAACAAAAAGCTCTCACTTTTCCATGCCGCAACATCTTTCTCTGACAAGGCCTTGCGGTAGTTGTGTAAAATGTTCTGACATTTTTTTGAGACTTTGGTGCTATCCATAGCTTCCCGGGATGATCCAGCATTGATAAATACTCTAGGAAAAGAAATGAGCACACTACTTCTGTAGCAAAATTTAAATGTGTATAGTACACACACACACACACACACACACACACACACACACACACACACACACACACACACACACACACACACACACACATATATATATATATATATATATATATATATATATATATATATATATATATATATATATATATATATATATATATATATATATGCATGCCATTCTATTTAACCCAACAGCAATAGCAGTAGCAACAAAATATATAGATGTACTAGTACTTACTATAGATAGAGGCCTGTGTGAGAAAGTGGTGGCTCAGCATTTTCTTGAACAAATTCAAAGACCTGGGGCCCCTAATGTCCTGGGGTAACTGGGACGATACCCTAGACTTAATACAAATTCTTCAACAGTTTTTTTTTTTTTGGGGGGGGGGGGTTCAAATGCCTTCGTTTCTTGTAAGTCTGACAAGCACAACTAAAGAGTTTCAGCTCGCTGACGAAGCAGCTTATAAAGTTAAGAGTGACAATTCAACTAATAAATGGTGACATAAAAAGGGGGAAGTAATTTTTGTTCAAATTGGCTTCAAAATGAGTTTTGTGGGCCACCAACCCAACATATTATAAGTTGAAGAAAGTGCTCACTACATTGTAGTAAACATTTGTATTCACCTGTATATGTGAGGCAACATGAAGTAACCAGCCACTTTATCTTTTCCAATGTTTTCCGTGATATTCCCCAGTCCTTGAAGTTTGTAATCGTGGAAATCCAGAGTTGACCGGACGGTAGGGATTATCATCATCCAGATGCAGACAGCCAGGTTTGATGATATTATGTAAGGACTGCATCTTGTCATCTTGAACTTATCCGCACAGAAAAACAGCGAAAAGGAATCAATAATTACAATTCGCCAATGACTTTTATTTTTAAAAAACACTTTTTGCAAAAAAAGCCTTGTCCAAGCAGTTGCAGTGTTACATTTGTTGACAACAATGCAAAATGTAAAAAGCTCACTACAGCATTTTTTTAAAGTGTCACCCCCGCCCCCCCCCCCCCCCCCCCCCCACACACACACACCCCACCTCATTCAGCACAACCACCCATTGTCATGGGGAAAAGTGACCATATTATTAGACAGGTGACCTTCTCAGGCAGGTAAGATGAAAATGGAAACAAAAACTTTCCCTTCTCAGGTCCCAACTGGTGATGGTTGTATGCTTTGGATTGGCGTTCGGACCATTTTTTTTTAATTTTTTTTTTTGGTTCTTCTAGAGAAAGGAAGGGGGGGGGGGGCAGGTTTGGGACAGACGGATTGTCCACAGCATTAGAATTAGAGACCAATAATTTACAGCAACACCAAGGGTGATCTTGAACAGTTTTGGGGGCTGTTGGTTGATGATGAAATATAGTGGCTGCTGTCATTTTGGTCAAATGAAATGGTTGTCTTAGACAGTCAATAGTCTATTTCGCAGTGTTATATTTGTTGACAACAATGCAAAATGTAAAAAGCTCACTACAGCTTTAATTTAAAGTGTCCCCCCACCCCCACCCCACCCTTATTCAGCACAATGAAGTCTAAAGAAGTCAATAGTCAATAGAAGGCAATAGAAGGCAATAGAAGTCAATAGAAGTCAGTAAAAGTCAATAGTCACACGTGTTGTGTGAGCGAGGATCGCTCGGGCTGGAATTTGGCCACCCGTGCAGTATTCCATATTTGGTAGGGTGGTACCTTAGAATTGGACAGAGGCTTTTGTTCCCAGCCTGAGAGTGGTGTCAGTTCAAAGTCAGTCTTGAGAGATCTGTGCACGTGCTTGTTGGTCGACCGGGAGACCGAGGGTGTCAGAAGTTACGGTACTCGGGTGGTGGAGCACTCTGAAGCTGTTCCCCCTTCTCGGGGTGACCCTGTTAAGCCTAGACATCGCGGTCCAGGAACAGAATACGAATTATCAAAAGGAGACAACCTAGATTTTTAAAAATCCCGAAGCCTAAGGAGGTCGAGGGTGGAATCCAGGAGCACGACCTGTCGACAGCACCCACAAGTATCCGTGGAGGACATGGACCTAAGCTTACGGTGTCATCTTCGTGCCTAGAAGCTGCATGGCTGTGGGGAGTACAGTCACGAACGAGGACCGTCTGGCGTGCGAGCGGGGCGGCACCAGGCGGACGGACCTTCTGGTTCTCAGCCCCTTGTCTAGTATGAGGCTCTGCTAGATGGAGAGGATACTTCCTCAGTATTTTGCAAACCCACAATGAAAGATCTAATTAATATTAATAAACAGGGTTCTCGCAGGAGCTAAGGTGTTCGTGCTCCTTGCTCGAGCTTCTCTTCAGGAATAAAACCAAAAAGGAAACTGGGAAAAAGGGGTGGGAGGTGGAGAAAGAGAAGGGCGGGAGCTAGAAAGACACAGTTAAAGAGTCAGCGGTTGGGAAAGAGTAATCTCAGGACTCTCTGCTGGAATTGTCGTAGTCTGCAGCAGAGAGGGCTCGTGACTGAAACCCTATGTTACGGAGCAGACATCATATACCTCCAAGACACCAGACTAGGTGACAGGAACTTCAATGTTGCCGACTTCGCAAAGACTCTTTACAACGGGGAAGGGCATGGACAGGTCACCCTGATACGATCAGCAATCAGATATCAGGAATTGGATATGAGTCGATGGGTGTCAGAAAACCTACACCTTCTAGCAGTGGAGCTCACTGATCAGCCTGTAAGAAATGTTGTCAACGTCTACGCGTGCAACGGGACAGTCACTGAGAAAGAGAGGGCCAAACTTGGCGAGATGGAGGAAAAACTACATGGAAAAACAATCTGTTGAGGCGAGTTCAACGCGCGAAGGAGTGATTGGGGAAACACAGTGATAAACCCCCAAGGGACGAGACTGGAAAATGCCCTGGACAGATGTGACCTCACCTGCATCAACAATGGCAGCATGACCAGACTAGCCACAAGAGATGGGGACTTCGACAGTGCTATAGACCTTGCACTCGTCTCGGTAGACCTAACAACAGACTGTACATGGAGAGTATTACACAACTATAGCAGCGATCATATCCCATGCACAGTGTTTGTAAAGCGAGGAGGCAGAAGCCATCAAAGACAGAAACGAGTCTTCTTCTACCCCACGGAAGGGAACGACCCCATCAGTGTACTGCGAAAGAGCTCCAGGCCACCCAGAGTACAGCATATTGTAGTGGCACAGCAGCCACCCTGGTGGAATGAAGAGACTGAGGCATTGTGGAAGATCAAATGCCTGGTGCTGAGAAGACACGAGAGGGACAGATCGAACGTGCAGTTGGAAGCTGAGAAAAAGCTAGCAGATCTCAGATTCGATGAGGCAGCAAAAAAAGCCAAGGACCTAGCATATGACAACTTCTGCCGGGGCGTGAACAGTGACAGGGCCCTGTATCAGTTCTGGAACTTCTACAGGTGCATGACTAATAGGAAGAGCAAACAAGCTATCCCTGATTTCCAACGAGAGGATGATATGTGGATGCGCACTGATGAAGAAAAAGGCCGTGCTCTGTTTAGGAGATACCTAAAAAAACTGACAGGGAAGATGAGGACAAGAGAAAACAGCTGCTCAACAGGATCCAACAGGACTACAAAGATGAACCCTGCCTACAATTTGTGACACACGAAATGTTACATAAATATATCCAGGAAGCATCCAACACTTCTCCTGGTCCTGACGGAGTACGTTATAGCCACATGAGGAACATGGAGGAAGGACAGACAATGGCACTAGCCGAGAGGCTAAACGAAAGCCTGTGGGCTGGGGAGATACCAGAAGACTGGCTGGACAGTCACCTGTCCCCAGTTCCTAAGCCAGACAAGGACCCAAGCAAGATTGCCTCATATCGCATAGTGACCATGCAAAATACCGTCGGGAAGCTGCTGGGGAAAATCATGGCACGCAGATTGGCAATAGAGCTGGAGGAAAAGAACGTCCTACCGCCGGAACTGGGCAGCTATAGAAGAGGAAAGATCACATGGATGAATGCTGCCACTCTTGCATCCGACGTATATGATGGCTTAGAGCGGGGGGAAGAAACTCAGTTAGCAACACTTGACCTGGAAGATGCCTACAACCGAGTTCAGTACGACACCCCCATGAGGACTCTAGTCAACCTGAGGGTAGATCCACATTTAGTACAATGGATTGGGGCAGCGCTGCTTAAACGAAAGGAAGCACTACGTCTTGGTTGCTGGGCTTCGCAACCTACCGAGATCACATCAGGCTTACCACAGGGATCTGCACCCTCGCCAGTTCTGTTCAACGTTTATACAATAGGGATAACTTCCAACCAGCTGGAGGGGCCCGGACGTGCACTCAGTCTTGATGATGATGTGCTGGTGTACAGGCAGGGCAAGAACCGCCAGGTTACAGCGGAGAGAGTACAGGAAGAACTCGACAGACTTGAACAGTGGTGTGAGACGTACAACGGGAAACTTCCCCAGACAAATCCTGTGTACTGTGGTGTACACTGAATAACCATGCAGTGCACGATGACATGCCAAGTATCTCGATGGGAGGCAAAATGCTGAAGAGGGAACCCACACTGAAGTACTTGGGCATCATGTTTGATCGCACCCTCTCTGGCAAATATCACATAACGAGAACAAGCTTCAGAGCGAGAAAAGGCCTAACAGCCCTTAAGATGGTGGCCAGAGCTAAGATGAGCTAGAAAATCATTGTCATCCTCTACCCGACACTGGTACTCTCTGTCGTAGAGTACGGGCTCGGACTCTTGACCCTATCAAAGGCGCAACTGCAACGACCCGAGATGTTACAAAATGAAGGAATGAGGGCAATCCCGGGATGCACACGAGATACCTCTACTGAAGCAATGAAATACTTCCTAGACTTCCCATGTGCAGACGAGAGGCACAAACTGGCACAAGTCCAAGCCTTTCTGCGAGTCAGCGCAGACGAGACAAACCCTCTACATAAGAAAGTGGGACGGCAGATGACATCAAGGCTAAAGAGGGGCAGAGAATGGATGACTCCAGCCACGAACACCATCAACGAGTGCTGCTAGATACAAGACATCAGGAGAGGCAGGGATTGAGTTGTGGTCGAAGATGCGCTCGGAGAGTACACAATAGGGAAGGCAACATTGGGTAGAGAATGTCGCAACTGGCCACTTGGAGCTACAAACGCTGAAATTGAAACCCTGATAGAAGAGCATATAGCTAACATGGAGATGCTCTGATCTTCAAGGATGGATCAGTCAACAGAGGAGTCAAATAGGGCTGGGCCTTGAGTGTCAGAGTTGATGGGGTAGTAGTGAAAGAGCAAAGTGGAGCAGCCGCACTGACAACATCAAGTATGTGTATGGAGATAAAAGCTATTAAAGTGAAGCTCTACACTGGATCAAGAACACAAGCCATCAGCGAGCAGTAATCATTACTGACTCAATGAGCACACTACAGAAGGTACAGAAAGGGATGCTGTACGTGGACTGGAAGGCTACGATCAGGGAGTGCAGCCTGGAAAGAGTGGCCTGGATCTTCACGCGGGGGTAACCGGCAACGAGAGAACAGACACGCTGGCTGGAGAAGCAAAAGTGGGAGGGAATTTGACACTGGACCCACCAACTGTCCTAACCGCTGTAAGGGAAAATTTGAGGAAGAATACGGCGGATAGCGGTTCCCACACTCTAGGTAGATTGAAGTAGAAGGGGATCCAAAGAGGAGAGGGTAAACACAGCCATCTATGCGGACCAGTCCGACGGATCTCCAACCAGATTATGATGGAGACTATACTATAAGTAGACAGACTCTGGGATGGATCCTGAAGAGGGGGGGGAAGAGCAGAGATGGACATGTTCCGACTGCAGTGACCCCAACACAGTGGACAAGTAAGACAAGTAAACAAG